GGGGGGAGCCAACAGGAGTCAGACGTTCTGAGTTGAGGAGTGCACGACTCTTCAGCTTGCGTGCACGTGGAACAGCTTTTCATACTAAATGTTGACTTGTGCACGAAAAAAATTGACTTTTTGAGACCTTTGAGACTTCTGTTTCCAATTAACTTTTTCCAGATGGCTTCGTTCTCGCTTTCCAAACCACATGCTCTGAAATTTTAAACTCCATCGCTCCTCTTCGGTTTAAATCAGTCCTTCTCAAATAGTGGGGCAAGCAATGCCAAGGGGGGCGCATGTAACGGGGAACATTTTGCGGCAGGGAGTAGTTTTTTTTTTTTGCACCATTCTCATTTTGTCAGGGTGCGTTCGGCAACTGTTCGCTAAAATCCGGCAACTCTCAGGCTAACTAATAATAAAGTTATGAACAAATATGTCTGTCTTGTCGTTTGGGGATCCATGCATGAACCGTGTCGCTCCCCTCTGCTGCTGAGCAGCTGGTGACGCTCGTCACCCACAGCACGCGTCATGCGACAGAGTATAAACTCAAAGCGAGAACGTTACCTGCCCCTCTTCCTCTTTCACTTTAACAATTTGTTTTTAGTTTTTTAGTTTGTCAAAGCACAATTTTTTATTATTTTTTTTAAATACAGAAGTAATGTTTAATAAATGATAGGACTCTATTCTTTGCTAACAAGTCCTCCACTCTGGACGCATTTCACCCACAGCACGCAGCAACAAAGAGTATAAACTCAAAGCGAGAGCGACACCTGCCCCCTCTTTCCTGTTTCACGTTGACAAATTTTTTTTTTGTTTTATCGACGCACAAGTTTGATTTATTTATTTATTTTGTAAAAACAGATGTTTAACAAATGTTAGGACTCTATTCTTTGCTAACAAAATATATTTTATGTCATTAAACCACTTGTCAGGTTCTTCTCTTGTGAGCGCGTTCCCCTGGAACAACCCCCCCCCCACACACACACACACACACACAAAGCCAACTCGCTCGCTCTTCCGCTCTTTGCAACTTCTCTGCTGTTGCTGCTCTGAAGATCAGGTCAGGTCCAACTAAACATTGAGCAGGAGCTGCAAGATCATGTTTCAAACTGCGCTTCAAAAAGCTGTGCACTGCAAAACGTGCTCATTGTCGTCATTAATCCAGACTTCCTCATTTTGATAAAAACAATCAGCACAAACTGTTTTATTCATTTTTGTTTTGTAGGTCAGTTTTGTATAAAACACTCCTGAGTTAAAATGTTGCTGATCAATTTGAAATAATTATTATTTATTGATTGTATTTAATTTGATTTTCCGTATCAAATGGTCAAAAATGTTTACAGTTTAAATAAGGATAGATGTTTGTTTTTTTCAGGCAAATTGATGCACTTTAATCCTTTTCTGTTACAGACTATAAAACAATGTTAATAATCTTTGTTGTAAATTGATCTATATTTCTTTCTTTTCTATTTTATTTAATGTTAATTATGCAAAGGTATACTCATAACAATTTTATAGACAAATTATACTATTTACAGTTGCAGCAGAGAGTTGGGGTTGGTGGGGGGGTTGCACGAAATGTTTACTTCTTCATGGGGGGGGGGTAACCGAAAATAATTGAGAAGCACTGGTTTAAATCCACCAAACCGAGAGCTGAGCCGTGGTTAAATTATGCCTCTCGTGCTCTCAGGAAAAAATGTAGGAAAGCAGAACTTCAATGGAAGAAAGACAAACTTCTTCCATCGCTAAAATTTTTGAGAGAATGCCTTACAAACTACCACAGATCTGTTAAAGAGGTGAAATGCCAATATTTATCTGGTTTAATTTCAAATAATTGCCATTGTCCTAGGGTGTTATTTAACACAGTTAATTCTGTTACTAACTCAGCTGTGTGTATTTTACCAGATGCTACAGCCACTAACTGTGAAAACTTCCTAAAATTCTTCCAGGATAAAGTGGCCTCAGTCAGACAAGTCACTGGTTCTGTTGCTGCTCCTGACTCCTCTGTAGCCTCTGTTCTGTTTGAACACTTCCAACCAGTTTCTCTTGCCATTCTCACTGATGTTGTTCAACACATGAAGCTCACTATTTGCCCTCTGGACATTCTTCCCTCCAAGTTCTTGAAAGAGGTTTTTAATTCTGTGGGTTTCTGTGTTTTAACATTTTTAAATTCCTGCCTTCATTTAGGAACTGTATGCTGCATTTAAACATGCTGTGGTTAGGCCCCTTCTTAAAAAAGCTCACCTTGACTCATCAATTTTGTCAAATTTTAGACCTATTTCTCATCTGCCTTTTTTAGCCAAAGTTTTAGAAAAACTTGTTTTTATGCAGTTACAACCTGTTTTAGAAAATCATGGTATTTATGAAACATTTGTTGTGGATTTAGAACCCGTCATTGTACTGAATCAGCCCTGATAAAAGTCCATAATGACATTTCCATGTCCATGGATGCCAAGTGTCCCGTTGTTCTGGTGTTGCTGGACCTGAGAGCTGCATTTGACACAGTGGACCACACTGTCCTTTTGTCTCGTCTTCAACATTATGTTGGAATATCTGGTACAGCTCTCAAGTGGTTCACTGCCTACTTGACCAACAGAACGTTCTCTGTCATGTTGGGTAATCTGTCTTCCTCTAGTGCCCCTCTCTCTTGTGGTGTGCCACAGGGTTCTATTCCTGGTCCTCTCCTCTTCTCTCGGTACATGCTGCCTCTTGGATCAGTGATAGCCAGACATCACTTTTCTTTTCACTGCTATGCTGATGATCTACAAATTTATTTACCAACGAAGCCTAAAAATAGTAACCTTCACACACCTTTTACTGATTGTATTGACGACATTAAACAGTGGCTTCATCGTAACTTTCTGTTTTTAAATGAAGGAAAGACGGAGTGCATCTTCTTCGGTGATGATGCTCCCTGTAACTTTGATGTTCTGACATCCAAGTTCAGACCCACAGTTAAAAACTTGGGGGTGACGTTTGACAAGAACTTAAAGTTTGATAAACAAATAGCCTCTGTAGTCGAGGCCTGTTTTTATCAGTTACGTCTCTTATCCAAAGTTAAGCCTTTTGTAAATCGTTGATTTGGAAAAGGCCATTCATGCTTTTATCACTTCAAGGCTCGACTACTGCAATTCCCTATATGCAGGAATCTCCCAATCGTCCATTAGACGCCTTCAATTGGTCCAAAATGCTGCAGCTCGACTCCTAACCAACACCTCTAGACGCGAGCACATTACCCCCCGTTTTGTTTTCTTTCGATTGGATTCCGGTTGATTTTAGAATTAAATAAAAAAATTTATAATTCACTTTTAAAGCTCTCAATGGTCTTGCCCCAGTATATCTGACTGATCTTGTAGCTGTTCGTGAATATACTGTCTGTCCCAAAGTCCAACTACAAAAGATGGGGTGACCGGGCCTTTTCAGTCGTTGCACCAAATTCTGGAACCATCTACCTCAGGACTTGCACTCCATCACTGATAGAGCATTTTAGTCTAAACTTAAAATCTTTTTATTCAGGCAGGCTTTTAATACCTAGTAATTCTTAGGCAATGTTGCTATGTTTTAATAGTTTTTTTTTTTTTTTTACTGTTTTTATAATTATTAATGGTTTGTTTTTAG